GTCAAGTGTGGTAAAGCTAAGTGTCGTAGAGTCAAGTGTGGTAAAGTCAAGTGTATTTGACTCCACGTATTCTCTATGTATTTTCTCTGCGAGGCTCCGCACGGAAGAACCCTTCGCGATGCTTTCGGGAAAAAAGTAAAGAAGCGCAGCGCAACGCAGGGCATTGCTGTGCAGCATACTGGAGCAAGCTTGCATTGTATTGTTTCTGCTGTATTGAGCTGTATTGTACTGTGCTGTATAGGACTGCACTTTTTTCCGTTGTAATGTATTGTACTGCATTGCTTTGTAGTTGTTGTATCACGATGCATTGCCTTTCATTACAACGTATTGTGCTGCACCTTTAGCATAGTGCATTCTATTACATTGTGCTTGCCTATGTCCGTTCGGCTCTGCATATTCATACCAAGTATTCCCTTTTTGTAAGCACACTTCCGAGCTCGAAGTTTGCTCAGCGGCAGCAGAGTGAGCAGAGGTTGCGACGCGGCTTTCATGGAAAGGCTCCGTGGCCTGGCTCGCGAGGTGCCGCCGAGCACCTGTTTGATTTTGTCATACTACGCCACTACGTTTGTGCTATTCTTGCCATGATATCATCATGATACTGAGCAGACTGGAACTACTGCAGTAGACATCGCAAGCAAGGAGTACTATTGCTAGGCATGTTGCTGTCCATCTGGTTACTCAGTTCTATTATCACAGGTATGATTCCTCCCGGCAGCACGGGCGCTTACATACGTCAGTGTGTGGCCAACTGCACAGCTCGTGCTTGGGATGAGAGCTTCAGCTCGGCTGTGATTCCAAGTTTGGTTTGATGGCGTGTTCTGACTTGACTGCTGTGGGACAATTGAAAACGATGGGCTGATTTCGGCGCCAACCACAACTCGCAGGCTTTGGCGTGGCCGTTCCTCCAGGATGAGCAGCGACTGGTCTGGGCCGCGGTACTTGAGTTCGATGCCGTGCCTACACAGGAGTGCTAAGGGGCAGAGTGAAACTTCAAGAGGATTGGGTCCTCCTTGGAAGTCGAAGCCGTAGCTTCGTAGAATGAAGCTCTGACAGATTGTATGTCCAGTTTGGCATAGAAGGAGTTGCCTCCCTGGTTCTTCGAGCGGCACAACTTGACGCGTCGGCACCTAGGCCTGGGGTATCATAAAGGATTTTAGGGTGTATAGGACTTGGGATGTTGTTTCGCATCTGCTCCTCCCAGTTTGACAGAAGGAGTGGACCTCTTTGGCTTGGACGGGCGGCTTGCGATTCTTTGTCGGGCTGGGAATGCCACCCACCAGGATGTGAAGCGATTTTTGCGGACGGCCGATTGCGTCTTGGAGGCGTCCGAGAACTGCACCGAGTTTAGGCCCTAAGTGATAAGGTTTTCAAACTGGATGGCCTGCATGTGCAGGCTCCCCAGTGCACACTCTGGACCCTCTACGACTGCAATGTCTCCGCTGACTCCCACAAGTGGCTAGACCAGTACGGCGGCCGGCAGAAGATCCTCACCGAGAAGAGCTTGCGCCGGCTGCGGGGTGTTTCTTCCGGCTCAATATTAGGTGCGGCTCCTGCTAGAGGCAGCCAGGCGTCGGACCCACCACTGCGGGAGTGCCAGGAGGCCTGCCTTGAAGCGTGCGCCAAGGGAGCCCGGGTCATTGAGATGGCCTGCGGCACGGGGAAGACGCGCGTGATCCGGGAGCTGGCAGCCAAGCAAGGCGGGAAGGCGGCCAGACAGCACTGATGCTCATGTGTTGTGCTATGTTGTGATGATGTGCTTTTGTTTTATTTTATGTTAGCGCGCAAATGATGGCTGAAATGCTGAACTGTCGCAAGATGTCTTCCATGCGCAGGTTTTGGTCACGGTTCCTTCACGTGTGCTCCTGGAGCAGTTCGCCGAGGAGATGCCGAGCTTCTGCAAGGTGGGCACAGGCTACAACAAGAAGATTGACTTCGCATCAAGAGGGTTCATTTCCGTGACTGACTCGGTGAAGCATCTGAAACAATTGAAGTTCGAGGCATGTTTTGTCGATGAAGGCCATCACCCTTTGTCACCAGAAATGCCACGTTGCAAGGATCTCTTCAAGTTCTCGGCCACCCAAAAGGAGGACGTGGATTTTCGGTACAGTTTGGGCGAAGCGATCGAGCAGGGCGTGCTGTCTGACTATGACCTCACCGTACCCGTGACTACCCAAGGCCACCCCTACATCTGCCTTGCGAACCTACTTCTGACACAGGCTGGGCGCTTCCGGCGGGTTCTTGCATACTGCAACTCTGTGAAAGAAGCCGAGAGATTCCAACAGGTATTGGACACAGTCGGTTTGGCGGCATGGCATATCAATGCCATGACAAATGGCAACCAGCGAGAGAGGGTGATGGAGGAATTTTCGGGGGAGCTGCAGAAGCCCGTGCATGTGCTGGTCACGGTGCAGGTCTTGGGCGAGGGCGTCAACATCCCCAATGCCGACACCTGCATGTTCGTGGAGCCACGTGATAGCTATGTGAGCATCATTCAAGCCATCGGTCGGGTGCTGCGACCTCATCCGTCGAAGCCTATGGCTCACATCGTGTTGCCTGCGATTGCAATGCCTGCGACGTCGAGGAGTGCTGGAATGGCTCCGCCGGGTCTGAGCGATTTTGCCGCAGGTGCACAGTCCATAGCCAGAAAGACGGGCTCTGTGGAGCAAGTCCCGTCCCCGCAATCAGAGCTGGATCAGGGCAGTGTGCATGCACAGCTTCCGATATCTTTGGCTGCCACAACTAGGAGTGGCAGCAAGAACTTCTGTGGCCGTGAGCTGACCGCCCAAACAGAGGAAACTTCAAATCAAGCTGGCAATGATGAGGTGCCCATTGTGCAACTAAACGAGCCTGCGCAGAACGAGCTTTTGCCTAGTGGCGACAGGCTCCATGCAGCCGTGCCCTGCACGGAGGCAGCTCAATGGGCTGGATGTGGCAACGCTACAACGCCGAGGCCATGTGACAGTGATTCCAGGTCCCCGAGTAGAACTTCAATGACTTGCGACCGCCACCGTGCTGAGTTTGGACCCTGCTCCCTGCCAGCACCTGCAATTCCGATGATGCGCGAGTTTGCCCCTGTGGTGCCTGTGCGCGGCACTTCGGAGGACGCGCCCGTTGCGATGCCAGCATCTGTTGCAAACACGGCCGCAGGCAGCAGAAGTTCCCGCATGGGGACGAGTGCAAACGACCACCACGACGCAGAGCGTGCCCGACGTCAATCGTCGTTGCCGCAGCACAGATTGGACAGCCTGCTGTTGTCATGTACAGGACAGGTACCTGCCAGTACGACGGCCTTAGCCTTAGACGCAGCGGCACTTGCGGCCTGCAAGCGGGAGGGTGCCTGCGGTACCGGCAACATGAAGAAGCAGTCGACGGCTTCACGGGATGCTGCAGCACGCGGCATGTTTGGAGCCCAAGGACCAAGTGCCTCTGCGCGGGACAACCGGATAGACAGCGGTGCAGGGCCTCCGTCTGCAGGGCTCCGTGATTGTCGCAGGGATCCTACTGGGCTGAAGGACGCAGGTAGTCAAGGTGACGACGACGATGGTGCAAAGCCAGAGTTCAGTGGTCCTAAATCCCAGAGCCCAGCTTCGATGACAGACGGCCGGCAGGCCATTGAGCTCCATGACGGGCGGACAAATGATAAATTGACTGCGTTTCATGCTCAGGCCGCACGGCCTCCCCATAGGAGTCCTTCAAAGCAGCTGCCCGCGGCAACTCGTGCCTTGGATGCTGCGCCTGGCACCAAGCCAACCCAAATGGTGCCGAGACATCATGCAACCGGTTCGGGACCTTCCATGAAGTCCAGAAAGAATGTGGGAAGTTTGATGCAGCGTCGAGCCTCCAAACTGAAGGTAAACACGGCTGGTAATGCTGGTAACACTCACTTGTCGCGGGGGTGCCATGCTGACCAGCTGGACAGGTTTTTGCAGGCGATAGCTCAGGCGGATAGCCGGCTGGTTGAGAAAGACATCAGACAATTGCAGTGTCGTCTTTGGGTGATGGACATCAGGCTGCAGCAGCCAAATATGCCGCAGCTACTTGCTCGCGATGTAGTCTTCCAGCTGGCATTGGTCCTGCACCGGCGGGATGCATGGGATCTACGCTTGCAAGCGGTCGAGAAGTTCGAGCAAGAGCATGGAAGGCTGCCGAGGCAAATAAGCAACCAGCTTGGGGAGTCAACCCTGGGCAAGTGGCTGCACAACACTTGCTGCAAGTTGAAGCGGCAGGCGGTTTCTGCCGAAAGGATGCAGAAGCTGTTAAATTCGTCATGCAGCAGGTTACGGGGCCGAGTTGCTAAGTGGCTGGAATCAGATTCAGATGCATCTTTTCAGCGATGGTTGGAGGAGTTGCGGAGGTTCGTTCATGTGCATCGCCGCATGCCCCGCAGGGGCAAAGCATGCTCAATGCCAGAGAAACTGTTGATGAAAGGCCTATTGCAACATGTGCAGCCTGCCAACAGGAAGCGTGAGAAGCGGTTCCAGCTTTTGGAGAACGTCGACCCCATCGTTGCGGACTGGGTGAAGTCCAGACAAGCACGGAAGATCCAAGTCAATTCCGTCACATTCAGGAAACAGCTTGACAGGCTTGTTAAGTTCGTGGGGGTGAACGCAAGGCTACCACAACCAAGGCTTGGTGAGTTGGATCTCTATAGGTGGTTGTCCAGACAGCGGAGGCAACTGGATCAGCTCCCGGCGGAGTACCAGGCAAAGCTGATCGCCGCCCATCCAGCAATTGCAGCTTTCTTGGAGAGCTAAGTTGTGCAAAGACGTCACGTCGTCCTGCTGCTAAGTTCATAGAAGTTTGTTCCTGAATCCAACGCCCGCTAGCTTCGAGTCCGAGAACGAAAAAGTATGGAAAAGTGCCGCGTCACGTGATGGTGCTTCAGTCCCTTTTGGTCTCGGGCCTGAGCGGAATCAGAAGTGGCCGGTATACAAAACAGGAGCAATACAGCTGCTGCTGCATTTTTAGGGGGTCAATGGTACATCATATGCAGACTTCTAAATAACGAAGAATGATTACATAAACGAGGCATAGGTAGACAAAGATATGTCCAACACATGGTATGTGCTTTTGGTTTGTTTTGCTGACAGGTTTGTTTTAGTTCTGTTTTGTGTTAGAAGGGGAGTTGCTTTAGACTTTAGACAGGGTTTCTGCTGTCTGTTACACTTATGTTTTTCAAAATCGTTACCGTATTAAGTGGAATATCTAATTTGTTTGGCTCGGCTTTGCTTGATTTGGCTTGGTCTGTTCGGAGAACCGCTGAACCCGAAAGTCCGCAAGAAAATAAAGCGAACCAAGCCAGGAACTCAGGAACGAGGTAAATACCGATAAGCAAGTAAGAGAATGCATCATACATCCATATATGTTACATACTTACAGTCTACAGCCCAATAGTCAAGGCCCTAGGTTCGACTTTTGCCATGGGGAAGTTCCGCGTCTCCAAGAAAGGGGACAACCCGTTTGCGCTCCCGAAGCGGAAAGTGCCGAAGAAGCAGCTGCCGGGCGAGTCTGAGGCAGATTGCAGGGCTGGGAAGGGCTGACAGGGTTTCGGGAATGGGGTTTGGTTTTCGTAGGGTTCAAGGTACAGAGTTGAGGGTGTACATAGGATGGAGCGACTGGTGGTGGCTACAGGCTTTTGCTTGTTCGTTGCAACGTAGACCCTTGAACACCGAAGCCTAGTGCTGAGCCTACCTGTGTGGTGGCTCAGAGGCCCAACATTTAGGGGAAAACGCACCACAAGAGTAGGGTTGCTAATCCACAGGTAAACCTAGTAGGCCAGAGCCCCATACGTATAGTGTGTACAACCCCTACAATCGTAGGGCGTTAGACCTGCAGGTATACCCTCCCTAAAGTCAAACTCGTGGTGGGAAACGGAATCTTGACAACTGAGACCTCGAACCGCAGGGTGTGATCGCAGTGCCTGTAGAACTATCTCGCAACGAAGCACAATCCAGCCAGGAGCCAAAACGAGGTTCTTCCAGTACTAAAGATGTACTATTACCTAGCACAATCGGGACACGGACGAGGCATTTCCAGTACTAAAGTTGTATTATAACCGAGCCGGGACCCCGAACGATGCATCTCCGGTACTTGTACCAAAGTTGTACTACAACTAAGCTAAAACGAGGAATTTCCAGTACTAAAGTTGCATTACAACCCAGCACAATCCAGCCATGATCCCAAGCGAGGCATTTCCAGTATTAAAGTTGTACTACAACCCAGAACAATCTAGCCAGGACCCCGAACAAGGCATTTCCAGTGTTAAAGTTGTACTAACATCCATAATTGGGGGTTGATTGGCAAAGAAATGACAAGAATATTAGACGACAACCCAATTCCGGGATAGGGAAATTAATACAGTGTTATTTTACAATGTCACAACCCCATTTCCGAACTGCTACGGCTCCTGTATTGTTTTTTAAACTTAATGCCCTCAATCCAAAGCTAGCGCATTCCCCACCCATTCCACAGCCCCACGAAACCTGGGCGGAGGCCAACCGTCGCAAGAAGGAGGAAATCAGACAAAAGGAGGCCGAGGCGGTCAGAGAGAGAGAGAGAGAGAGAGCGAGAGAGTGTCAGAAAGGGCCAGTAGATGCTTTCGGGGAGTTCGTCGTGTCATGGTTCACCTCCCACCGAAGAATCGAGCTACAATTCGCTCGGGCTCGAGCTGGTAAGCCCTGCAAGCGTCAGCTTGCTCTTTTTTGTGCCTACCTAAACCACGAAAATCGCCAGAGATTGTTCAGCAACTAGCGCATTTGTGAGAAACGGATTGGAGCTTCCTAAACCCCTAAAGCCGAAACCCGAAACCCAAAACCCTTCGTCCTCCCGCCCACCGAGGCAAAAGCTGCCAGAGAGAAACGCAAGGCCGAGGAGGCCGCGCGACCACCCGGCAAGAAGCTCGGCCCTGGGTTTAGGGGTCTAGGAGATTAGGGTTTAGAGGTTTAGGGTTTCGGGGTGTAGGGGTTTAGGGTTTGGGGTTTAAGATGGTTTAGGGCTTAGGGTTCAGGGTTAATGGGCTTAGGGGTTCAGGGTTAAGGTTTTAGCGGTTTTGGGGTGTAGGGCTTTAGGGTTTAGGGTCCTGATGCAAAAAAGGGTTTAGGGCTTAGGTTTAAGCGTTTAGGGCCCTTGTTGGCAAGTGGGTTTGCTATGTTTTGGTGTCTTGCATCTCCCCGGAAGCCCGGCGAAGTCCGAAATCCTATAAACCCCCCTGACCCGTATGCGCAGTCGAAGTGAACACATCCACCACTAAGCTCCTCACATGTAGTTCCTGGAATCTTATCCCTCAGCTCTGAACATGCTAAGCATAGCATAGACCGCGCTAGAAACCCCTGGCCCTGACCCTACTAAAGTAAAAGAACTCCTCCGAACCCGCGAAGGGGTCAAGACACCTAGACTGGTTTATTGTAAGCATTGAACCCCGACTTCGCCTTTGCATTTGCATGACAACTGAGGAAGACGTTGAAACGATGCTGGGCTTGGATTAGGGACCGGGAAGGGGTCGGTGAGGGCATTGGATGCCCACAGTATAAAATTGGAGGGCTTGAGGGAGTGCGATTATATGCTGGGTGAAATTATCTTGGTCTTGGCTGTTGAATGTCATGATACCCACACTGAACCCAAAACCCTAAACCTATTATAAACCCTACTCCCCCTCTCGCAGTTCTTCGAAGCTTTGTTAAACTTTGAGCATCGCCCTCAAGCCTTCGAGCCTCAACCCCCCAAAAACCTTGCTCCATGGAACCCCGAAGCCCAGGAAAAGCACGCCTGCAGAAGATGGTAAAGGAGGGGAAGGTCACCAAGACGGACCAAGATGTGCCTGGTCGAGCATTGGGGATACAAAATGTTTGGTCTATTCTTTTAGAAAGCTTGAAGTCGGAACGAGTCGGAACTTTTAGTTTGGCCGAGGCTTTCTGTCGGAGGTATGACGACTTCTGACGTCTATCCGATGACCCTACAGTAGAAGCCCAAAAGTTGGAAACCCAAATCGCCTCAATCCCTAAGTGCAATGTATAGGGAACCCAGCGGTCCTAGCACCATCTATCCTCAATCCGGTTTCCAACTCTTTGGGGTTACTATAAAACCTTCGTTAAAGCACCAAGCCCATTGGGTTTTGGTCCCCTCCACTGTCCCTTAGCAGTCAAAGTGGCCCTAAACCGCCCCTAGGTCGAAGAGCTCTTGCAGTGCAAGGACGAAGTTGTCTGCGCCCTGGCCGACGTGCAAGACGAGGCAGGAATATAGAAGCTCTTCACCCTAACCCCCCAAACCCCTGAACCCCTAAACTCCTAATCCCCTAAAATCCCTAAACCCCTAAACCCCTAAAATCCCTAAACTCCTAAACCCTCAACCCCTATAAACCTCACTAAACCCTAAACCCTAAACCCTTAATATCCTTAGAGCTCCCTTTTTTTGGATAAGTATACTGTTATAAACCTTACTCCTTAGAGCTCCCCTTGTTTGGTAGAAGTATACTGGCAAGGCCGAGCTGCGGAAGAAGTTCGGGCCTTCTCAAGGGACCTCCGGCCGCCTGGTCCTCTTTGAGGGGGGGTTTTGGGCTTTGGGTGTGGGGGTCTAATTTAGGGGGGCGCTGGGGTTTAGAGGTTTAGAGGTTAGAGGTTTGGTCTTTGGGTGCTGGGGGTTTAGGGTTTAGAGGTTTTGGGTTTTGGGCTTTGGGTGCTGGGGGTTTAGGGGTTAGAGGTTTGGGGTTTTGTGGTTTGGGTGTGCGGGTTTGGGGGTTTAGCGGTTTGGGTTCAGGGTTTAGAGTTTTAGGGATTTTGGGCGGAGGAGTTCAGGGGCTTAGGGGCCATGGTGTTGGGATTGTGAATATCCTTCTTTGTAAGTTTTAGCAGCTTAGCACTCTAGTGTGGGCTTATAGTACAGACTGTTCTTTTCGTATGGTCATGTATGGTCTAGCTTTTCATAAGAATCAGATAGTTTCAAAGTGGCCGCCATGAAGAGCCGAGGCTATGGCAAGGAGTATTTTGAAGCCTCTTGCTATCGCTTCCGGTACATGCAGGCAAAGGACGGTACCCCTGTGGCGCAGATCTACAAGTGGCCTTGGCCCTGAAGATTCTCGTAAGCCGCTGCAGACCGTTTCACACCCAGACATTGCAACTTGCGCAGCGCAAGAAGAAGGACTGATCCAGAGGATGTGTTTCAGGGTTTGCATGCAACCGCCCAGGGCTAGTTTGCAAAAGTGTGGAGGCTCGAGGCTGCTCATTGCACATGTCCACAGCTTGCGGGCTCAGACGGGCTCGTCCAGTCAGAATTCGGCTTCCGACGACGGTCCTCTGATCTACTTGGCATCTGTGGAAATGCGAAGACTGCAAGCTCCTAAGCTTCAGAGACGTGGAAGATGCAGCAGAAGACTGCTTTGTGGGCTCGGGCTTGGGACTCTCTGGGCCGCGGCTGCTTTCACAGATGCCGTGTATTCTGGCAGGCAGAAAGTGATGAGGACTGCCACGCGGGCTTTTACGTCATTCAGGCTCCAGGGCCCATAATCGTAGCACCTGATCCGATATCACGACATATCTCACCCCGGGTTTCTCAATTTCTTCGAGTTAATCCGGCCTGTCATCTGAATTAAAAGACGAGAGGCGATTTCAACAGCAGTTTTTATCTTCAGATCTAGCTGTCTGTCTTCTCTTCTGCTACTGCTGCGCTTGGAGGACGAGGCATCGTGCGGCTGCGCAGGCAAAAGGGCAGGAGCTCGAAGCCGGTGCCGAGGAGATGAGCAGCTCGACTTCCTACAGCTGAGGCTTCAGCCCTCCACCCTGCTTGGAAGCCTCCGAAAGGTCACATGCTGAGGCCGATATCCCAATCCTTGCACATCTACACCCAAACTTGAGGTTTTCAATCATGTCGCAAGATTGGTTGACAAGTGGTGATATGCAGATAGTTTTTGAGCACTTGAGCATCGCTTCACAGCAGTTTGCATTCGAGTCGTTGAGTACTTCTCAGCTGCTGGACTCAGGGTGGCATACTGCAAGCAGTCTATTACTTGAGATCCGAGAGCGTTATTGAGGTTCGGTCCAGGTCCAACGCAAAACATGTACAATTTCGAGCTTCTGCCGGCAATTCGGCCTCCCCCATGAGTCAGCTCATCGCAGTCTCAGGTCTTCCGGTGTTTCTTGTGGGTGAAGGGCCGGGCCTCACTTCTGGTAACCCAGCCATACCTCTCCCAGCCAGCCCAAAGTCTTCAATCAGATTTCGCGAGTACACCTAAGACAGCCTGATGACGCGATTGAGCCTGCTTTTCCGAAGGCTTCGACGAGGCTTTCATGGAACGAATGCGCAGCCTGGCGCAGGAGGCGCTCTTCGATTTTTCTGGCGATTGTGAAAGTGATTCGAATGGGCTTAGGTGATGAAGATTCAAGACTTTGCACCGAATTTTGATCCATCCTTCCCAAACCGTAAACAACCAGGCCCGCTTGCTCCGGCTCCTCCACGAAGGTAACAAGTAATGTGGTGTCCCTCCATATCCCAGCCTCCTAGAGTCCCACATAATGTGCTTCCCGTCCGTTTCCAGGCTCTCACTTGGCCCTTCCTCGACGAACGGCAGCGGCTGGTTTGGGCAGCAGTTCTGGAGTTCGACGCCGTACCGGCCCAGGATTTTTTGCACTTGAACCCTATAGTCTTAAGCTTTAAGTGGATACATGGAAGCGTTTCTGATGTCGATTGTGCCAGCTTTCTTGCAGAATCTGCCGCCCTGGTTCTACGAACGGCAGAATATCAGCCGCCGGCACCTAGGCTTGGATGGCCAAGACCTCCACAAAACTCTTGCGGCCCAGCGAACTTCTGTTCATTCCTGGCAGGTGTGGATCTCTTCAGCCTGGACGGAAAGCGGGCGGTCCTATGCCGGGCAGGGAATGCCACCCACAAGGATGTCAGGAGGTTTCTGCGAACAGCGAAATGTGTAAACGAGGCTGGGCAAGACTCCAGAAAACGATCGGTGCTAATTATAAGACTGTGAATGGAGTCGCAAGGCCAGAGCAGCGCCTGCTAAGTCAAGGCTCATCTCTTAGCTTGCAGGCTGCTCAGTGCACCTTTTGGACGTTCCGCGGCTGCAAGATCACCAGTGACTCCCAGAGGTGGCTGCGTAAGTACGGCGGCCAGCACCAGAGGCTCACCCAGGGGTACCTGCGCGAGCTCCAGCGGCGTGCAGATGCAGCATCTGATGAGCTTTCATCCGCCTCGGAACCACCACTGTGGCCCTGCCAGCAGGCCTGCCTGGAGGCGTGTGCCAAGGGAGCCCGGGTCATCGAGATGGCTTGTGGCACTGGTAAGACACGCGTCATCCGTGAGCTGGCAGTGAGGCCGACGGGGAAGGCAGGGTTGTTTGGAATTTGCAGTGCTCGGGATAGCATGCGAACGTGTTACTTCATGTTTTTGTTTGTCTCTTTCGGATCCAGGTCTTGGTCACCGTTCCAAGCCGAGTGCTGCTGGATCAGCTCGCACAAGAAATGCCTGGCTTTTGCAAAGTCGGTACAGGCTACAACGACAAGATTGACATGACGTCAGACGGTTTCATCTCCGTGACTGATTCCGTGCATCTGTTACAGAAGCTCGAGTTCGAGGCCATTTACGTCGATGAGGCCCACCACCCTTTGCCCGAAGGATTGCCAAGATGCAACGACATCTTCAAGTTTTCGGCCACGCATAAAGAAAAAGTTGATTTTCGGTACAGCCTGGGTGAGGCGATCCAGCAAGGGGTGCTGTGCGACTACGACCTCACCGTACCCGTGACGACCGAAGGTCATCCCTACGTTTGCCTTGCGAGTTTGCTGCTTTCGCAGGCTGGGCGATTTCGGCGGGTGCTCGCCTACTGCAACTCCATTGCAGAAGCCAAACGATTCCGGCAGGTGTTGGAGACCGTCGGATTGGCAGCGTGGCACATAAATGGGCATACAAGCCGAAAAGAGCGAGAGAGGGTGATGAACGAATTTTCCGGGGAGCTGCGGAAGCCGGTACATGTGCTGGTCACTGTTCAGGTCCTCGGCGAGGGAGTCAACATCCCGAATGCCGACACATGCATGTTCGTGGAGCCCAAAAGCAGCTATGTGAGCATCATACAAGCCATCGGGCGGGTGCTGCGGCCTCATCCATCGAAGCCTATGGCTCACGTCGTGCTACCTGCGATTGCAGCCCCTGCCATGCCGGAGAGGGCTCCCTTCGCGGCGAGTGATCCGGTAAGAGGCGCCGCGTCCGCGACCCCAAAGTCGATCTGTGTGGAGGATGATGTCCAGGACCTGGAAGCACTGCTGGACGACGTGGACGGGTTGCGAGTGACAGCCGCTGGAAAGGCTGGGACTGGCAGCAAGAGCACCTTTCCTGCTAAGTGCAGCCAGGCCAGCGGTGACCACCAGCTGCCCAACGAGCCAAGGGAAACTTCGAGACATTTTCAAGCAGAGGGCAGCGACACTGAGAGCAGGTGCCAGTCTGCCGGCCGCCGGGATTGCTCTATGGAATCGCCTGTGCCAGCTACGCCGGCCAAGCTGCAAATCAAGCAAAGCGTCGGAAAGGCCGAACCATGCCGCAGCTCCCACATGGAAGCCGGGACACCGGGCAGTGAGGCGAGTGCCGAGTTCCACGCCCCCGTCACGACAGTTTTGAGCGAAGACGCACCCGTTCTGGTCTCGGGAACCTCTGCAGAGAATCCGTCTGCTAATGGACTTAATGCTGAGTCTGGCATCAGCTCCAGCATCTCGACATCTTCAAGATCATGCCATGAAGATGGAGGCGACACGGCAAAAGTGCGCCTTCACCATGTTAAGTATCCAGCAGAAGCGCACATGTTGCTGAGCCAGAGAGCATATTCGGGATCTTCAACGAGGAAGCCAACGGTGGACAGGAAAATTATGACACCCAGGCTCAAAGCAAAGGCGTTTGGTGATGGCAATTGCGGCAGTGCGAAGATCGACCAGCTTGACAGGTTTTTGGAGGCGATAGCAAAGGCAGACAGCAGGTTTGTCAAGGCAGATTTCCAGCATATGCAGTCTCGTCTGTGGGTGACGGACTGCAGACTGAAGCAGCCCGTAATGCAGCAGCTCCTAGTTCGCGATGTGCAATATCAGCTTGCTTTGATCCTGCAGCAGCGTGATCCGTGGGAACTACGATTGCGAGCAGTCGAAAGGTTCGATCGAGCTCATGGCAGACTTCCACGAGAATTCGGCGATCTGTTCGGAGAGAGAACTTTGGGACTGTGGCTGCAGCAAACCGGTGTTCCGTTCCGGAAGCAGTTGATCCCGACGCTGAGGAGGCAGAAGCTCTTGAACTCGTCGTGTCAGAGGTTGCAGGCGCGCATTGCGAAGTGGCTCGATCCCGGCACAGCCTTTGAGGCAAGATTGAAGGAACTCCGGAAGTTCGTAGAGCTTCACCAGCGTATGCCTAGAAGAAGCAAAAAATCAAAGGCCGAATGCACATTGGCCAACAGGCTGCAGTGGTTTGCACGTCCAGATATCAAAGGCAGGGAAGAGTGCCTCCGGCTGTTGGAAATGGAGGGCCGCATCATTGCAGAGTGGGCCAAGTCAAAGCGATCGAAAAAGCACCAATTCAGAAATGCAAGATGGAAGATGCGGCTGGACACGTTAATTGAGCATCTGACCAATCTGACCAGGACAGGTAGTATGTCGCGATCGCTTGGAAGAACTCTAGCTGCAGAGCAGCGGCTTTATGATTGGTTGTACAGACAGCGTAGACAATGGGATAGTCTTCCATTGGAGCTCAGAGCAGAGCTCTTGAACTCGCACCCAGCTATCGCATCTTTCCTGCGAACCGTGCCATCGGCGAGGAATGCATGCCATTGGCCAAAATCGGAGCCGTCGGGCGTTTGAAGAAGATGCTAGCATGTCTGTGGCCCTAGCTCAGCGCGTGTCTCTGTTTAAGTTTGCTGTTGATGGCCGTTGTTGCAAAAAGGGTGCTGAGCAGTTCATTACACGGCAGTAGCCTCCGACGTTGCCATCGGCCAAACGCCATCGTCGTCAGGCATGTTAAAATTCTCAGACAAGTATGCGGCGTTGCACCTGCAGACATGAGTATCTGATCCTTGGATCAACTACAAAGAGTCATTCGGCCCTCAAGGATGCAGAAGTATATTTGACCCTGTGCGCATGCCCGATCCAACCTGGCTCTCACGGCGCACCCTTATTAGGGTTTTGGGGCTTGACAGGCAACTGAGTGCCCTGGAGAGAGAGAGAGAGAGGTGTCTGTCTCATTCTCAAGTAGGATGCCGGAGATGGCTTTGGGAACATCGTAGATTTGAAGATCTGGGCCAGGATTTGTTTAGGCTTTGCGGACTACGGTGTATGTAAGTAGGGCATATTGACTGCATGAGCTCTAGAAGAGTCAAAATATAGTCAGGTGGAGGATTGGATTAACTACCACTTGGCCATTGGCATCGAGCACTTCACGGCCTCTCATCATGATTGGAGCCAAGGGCTCGTGCTCCGCACGAAAGCTTGCACGTTTCAGAGATTTTCATAGACCAATGTGGGGTTTCGATGTGAGCTTGCGCTGTGGGCGAAAAGGGTCGGACTTTTGGTACTGGCATATTTTCATTGGCTCTAAGAGTCTAGGCAGTGGTTCGGAGTTTAAGCCTTCCTTATTTGTTGGTGTCCGGAATGCGAGTTTCGCAGCGGAAAGAGCGAGCCTTTAAATTTGAACCCGAAGCCCTGAACCTGGTGAGTCAGCTTCGGTCTCATTGTTTGTGCTTCTGCTGCTGCTGCTGTTGTACATGTGATTATTTTAGTAGAAAGGGCCAATACGCTGCCAGCCTAGAAACACCGAACCCCGAACCTGAAAACTTCGATCCCATTCTCCCATGCAGCAGTTCTGAGGTTTTCGACACGGATGGGCCGCTTTACTGCACAGGTAGTTCTGTAGAGTTCTTTGCATGGGTACCCGTACTAGGGCGCCCTTCCTTCAAGGGCCCCCTATGACATGCATGTACAGATATACAGTCACGGACAAAAACTGACGTCGAACCTGTGGCGGAACATTTCTCACACCTATAAGGCCCGCATGTAAAGGCGTTCAAGGAACCAGTTTTACCAAACCCTTATTCTCGGCATACTATAGGGGTCGGAACGAACAGTTAGACTATTTGTTAGATTTCTGATTATAACTCTATGCCAGACTACACCCCTCAAAGGCATCAATCTAATTACGACAGCCTTTCTCGAAGTTTATTGTTGCTTTATGCTACAATATGCCCCAGAAGCCCTCAGCCAATTATTGAGGCCCTTAGACAACCGCCCTGATAGTAACCTCTGCAGTATCCTCTACAGAGCCATATAGAGTCCTCAAGAGGAACCCTGTTCTAGTTATTCAGGCCCTTGTAAAAGACGAGGTCCTACGAGCCTTATGTTCGCTCCTACGTCGACCGGGGGTTCGTCTCCTACCATCCGCGCTTTCCGAAGGACTTTTGATGAACTCTCGTCGCTTTTGAAGGGAGTGAGGTGTCAGCTTTGGGGCATGGGGCTTTGGGGGTTTGGGAATGAGGTTTGAGAGCGCGTGGCTGCCGTTTCTGAACCTCGGAGAGCCAACTTTGCTCCCTTGAATTGAACCACCCGTTTGCAACCTTCAGTACCCCGATTCAAAGGCCTCTGTTTTCCCCAAGGTGCCACAACGTGAAACTTGTCGATGCGTCCTGAACACCCTGGCAGCCGCGTTCCAAACCGCTTCTGAACCCCTGAACCCTCCTGATGTTTTCGAACTAAGACCCAAAACGATTAAATTCCTTTATCGTCCTTTGCCTCAACGAGTCCCGGAACCCTTATACATTCCGCCTTCTTATAACCCCCGTCCTCTCGCAGGTCTTTAATCATGAAGCCCTATATCTCGAAACCCTTGTTTTTGAGCCTTGATAGAGCCCTTCCACAACCTTAACAGAAAGCCTAGCCATACCTATTCAAGCCCAAAGCCAGAAAGCTCTGAACCCTAAACCCAATCCTAAATCCGAAACTCGTTGAAACAAACACAGTGTAAAGCCTTATACTTATGTGAGTATAGACGAATATGCATTTCTTTACGTTCTTAAGAAGGGAGTTTAACCCTCAACCCGTGTAGACGAATTCTGTAGTCTTGTGAACAAAAAGTTTTTACACCTCAATATACACCCAGACCCAACACCCTGAGAACCCTAAACCGTTGTCCAAGCCTTACTCTAGAGTCCTAGACCCTTATAAGAAACCTTATAAGGCATCCTTTATGCCCTAAAGAGCCCGAAGCCGGCATCTCCTGGAAGCCTCTTTCGAAGCTACAGAGGTCTATAGGAGCCCCTACTGTAGGCACCCTAAGAACCCAAAGGCCTGTGTAAACAAAGGACCCTAGATCCCTAAATCCTAAGAGCCCCAACTCAAAACCCGGAAACCGTGAACTCCTCGGGATCCCTTTTAAGAAGCGTTTTATGGAATCCCCGAAACCCAAAGACTCCTAAACCCCAAAAGGCCTCTTCCAAGCTATGGAACCCTAATCCCTGGTAGAAAAAGCCAAAACCTCAAAAAGCCTAGCTCCTAAGAGCCCTGAGAATAAGAACCCTGAGAACAAAACCCTTTATGCCCTAAACCCTTATAGATCCGAGAAAGGAGCCTTTCAGGGCTCCCTCAACCCTAAACCCAAGAGCCCGAAACCCTGAAAGCAAGAGCCCGAAACCTGAATCTGCAGGAAGTCGCTTCGAAGCTTTCCCTGGCCTCGACGAGGGCCAGTCCCCGGAGCGAGCGGCGCCGCCCGGCTTCTCTTCGGGCTTCGTTATTAAGGGGGGTTTCGGATTTAAAGTTTAGGGTTCTCTCTCGCTCTCGCTCTCGCTCT